AAAAATATATGTTTTCAGTATCGAGAAGAGCGGTTTAGGCAAACGTCCGAAAGCACTCATCGCCGTGTATTCTGGTGGTCTCTGACTCAGACGGTAATAGTTCTGATTATGGGTGCATGGCAAATGAAACATCTTAAGAGTTTCTTCGAGGCAAAGAAATTAGTTTAAGTATTACGATGAAAAATGCGGTCTTGAGATTTTAGCCGCGTATCGCTGATATATCTAAATCTTTCACTCATAGCGTTAGGCAATTTTTCATTATAATATTAATTCAGCAATGTGCTTATCAAATCAACATATTTGTATTAAATTATCGATTATTTTCTACAGTGAATAAATTACTTGTAATTATACAATTGCTTCATATGTAGAAAGTTATAAAAATAAAGTAAATGTCTTAAATAAAGGATTTTCCTTATTATTTTATTTTTCTCTTTCATGTAGAATTTCTGCATGAAATATGTTTTTCTAATACATCTGGTAGTTTAGCATGTGAGAATATGTTTTGAATTGTTTCTATTAAATCTAGCTTTTTTGCACAATCAAAGAAGTAGGGAACAGAGAATGAAAATTTCATTCTCCATTAGAAATCGTGTATTCCATATAGTACACTGTACAGAGTTTCTGATAGATTGAAATTCTTTTCTTTTCCTTTGTGCATCCATGACTATGCGTTGACGTTGACCAACGCTGACTCTTCCCTCTACCGGGATAACCGATAATGTATAACTACATGATCCACATATAACGTGATTGAACATAACCTAAAATAACCAATTGGGCTAGAAGAAAGAGGCGTCGCGGTATAACCTTGAGGAGAGATTGACGCAGGTCGACAGGGCACAAAAGTTTCCACTACCTGGTGGAACAACATACCAAAAACCCTTTATATTGTGGTATAACGTAACCTTCGAGGAGAGGTTTTGAAAGCGAAAATAAAAATCCCTCCTCTCCCAATTAGTGTAACCTATCTGTTGTATGTACATACATACATTAGGCATTTTGTACATACAATTGTTTTCAAACAGTTACATTTTTCAAAGAAAATGCTAAAGTGCGGAATCTGTGGTTGTAGCGATTTTTATAAAGCATCTGGTTATTTCTTTTGTACGACATGTCAAACGCAAAGCCAGGTAGGATTCATTAAGTACTTGCAGATGTGTATACATCTGTGTGTGAGCACCCACGTGAGATGAACTGATACTACTATATTTTCAACTTTCATTTTCTTAGGATGTTGGGGAAGAGGTAGAGTTAGACCTACCCTTAGAAAATACTGCGAGATTACGAAAAAGAAAAATTTATCGTGCGAAAAGTGTCAAAGGTGCAGATTGAGCTTTATATATTTTTTTTTGAAGAATGACTACAATACATAATGACACTAATCATAATAATGATAATCAAACACGTTTATTATTAACATGATACAACTTCGGCCTATTTTCTTATTTTTTTTTTACTTATAGATGAGGAGCTTGGATGGACATCTTGGGAATTATATAATTTTGTTTTAATTGGTTTGACAAATGAGCTTATCGAGCTTGGTGTATCAGCCGATATAAAAATAACAGTATTGCAGCTGTGGGCACGATATCTGGGAAAACTGGAAGTAGCGTTTATCTCTGCAAAAAAGAAACTGATACCAAAACTGGCTAGAAGATACAAGAAAAGGTCATTACAAATTATTGTATATAAACCAATTGTTTATCTTCAAGATATTACAATCCTGTACAAACAAAATGTTTATTAAGATATTTATTTAGATTTCCTTTAGAAATTTTTTACTTGAAATTTTCGTAAAAATCAATTATTTATCAAGTTTCAACTAATGCTATTGTGAATAATGGTACATATTTTTCTTTTTATAGAGATGCTGAAATTATATATGGCAAAGTTTTGTCACAAAAGAGAGCCAGAAAACAGAGAAAAACTGGAAGTAACGCAACAGATTCCGCAGCTTCTACCTATCCAAATGAAGAAACCTCCTTAAGAGAATTAAATAGGAATAAAGTATGATTTGACGTAGATAATTTGTAAATTTTATCTCTGAAAATTTATAAATGTGTAATGTAGGTATGTCTTATGTGTATAGAAACTTATGATTACTGCAGACTATGATAGATTTATGCAGTCACAAACAAGCTCAGAAGGAGATGTACTTAGTACATTTAGTCAAAGTGTATATAGCGCAGCGCATTCGAGTCCAAAACAATCTTGTGAAAATATGAGGTAAAGAAACAAGAAAAAAAATCGTTGCTCTGTTTTCAACTATTTTTATTATTTTTTAAAGAAACAAGTTTATAAGATTTAAAATATGTAAAAGATTTTTATTTGCGTTCTCCATTATCTTTCAGTATTCTTTTATATAATACATCCTATATTTGACACGCCCGCCCGCCCGCCCGCCCACCATACCATATAATTATATATTTTATATTTGTATATATATAATACAGGATACAATATAATTCTTCCGCTAAAAAAGAAACAAACAGGATAAAGAGTATGGCAAAAAAAGTGCCAAGATACAAACGTAGCAAATACAAACAAAGTCATATAACGACCCGATATAAAACAGGGCCAGAATTAATTACACCTACAAAATTGTGGGCAATCTTATATCTGACTTTAAGAATTCATAATCAGGATATACATTTAGGTGATATGATAAGGTAATTTACAGATTTACACATTTTATCTGTTGTTTTTAAACCCAAATTTAAAAATAATAAGATCATGAATTAATGTACATTGTATTATACAGATTATACTTTTTATTAGCGTTTTTTATGTTTGGTTCTGTCATGCATTAAAAAATTATATCGTAGCTTTTTTTCACAGTTTATTTAATAACGTACCTATCACATATATTGTGTACATTTTTGCAGATATGGGAGAGAAGGACATTTATCTTATTACAGACTAGATCGCTTGATACCTCCAGAAGTATCTTTAACAAGAAGTGACATGAATTTCTTATCACGAGCTGCGGACATAACGCACAAGGGTATGAGAAGAATTATTGGACAGATGGCGAAATTTCTTGGAGTCACGAAAATTATTTGTCCAGATCTTTTATCTCTGGTTAATCGATATTGCACTGAATTAGCTCTACCAAGTATGAATATTATATGAATATTTATAAAGATCTTCATTTTTCCCTCATGCATAAACAAGTACATATTATTACGATATTTGTAGAAGACATATCATCGTATGCGGAAAGATTAATAAGTTTATCTTCTCCAAAAATGATATTTGATAAAAAATCCTGTATCCCTAATTACGAAGGTCGTGCCATGGCATTTATTATTGTAGTACTAAAAACATTATTGAGTTTGGATGGTATCACAGAAAATGAAATTAGTAATGTTGCCGACAAAATTAATAGGTATGTAAAAATTTTTTTTGTAATGTGTGTGCCTGCTTTGACGTAATTATTATAACAATTGAAAGTGCGTATATATATATATACCTATATATATATATATATATATATATATATATATACATATATATGCACTTTCAATTGTTATAATGATTACGTCGAATTATATATATATATATATATATGTGTGTATATATATATATATATATATATATATATGTATATATAGTAACCACAGATTTCTTAGAATATGTGATAGAAACATACATGATAGATGTGCGTACATTCATGATACAAATATATTTGTATCATGCATACGTTTATGTTAACATTATACATATTTAATTGATTATATTTATGTGTCAGATAAATCAAATTGCTCGTATTAAATTAATCAAAAAATAGACCGTAAACTTGATGGGAAAACTAGCCATCTACTAATTTGATATTTAAATACAATTATTTGGATACAATGCAGTGTCAATGCGAAAATTTCAAAACTCCATGTATACTTGTACATGGTGATATTGGAAATTTTAACGATGCGCTTATTATTGAAAAAATAATGAGTTGTAAAAATGCAGCATCCATTGGATATCAAAATTTGTTAAGTGGTGCAAATTCTGTACAAGCTGTAGAAATTGCGTTATGGTGGTTAGAATGCGATGAATTCTTTAATTGTGGTTATGGGTCGGTTTTAAATAATATAGGTATAGTAATAATATAAAATATTAATTGCGTTAAAATAATACAAGTATGTATAGTGGAAACTAATTATATGTATATCACGACATCGCACAAAACAGGAGAGGTTCAGATGGACGCAAACATAGTAGATGGCTCCAAATCGGAATGTGGATCCGTAGCTGCAATATCAGATATAGAGCATCCGATATCTCTTGCCAGATATGTTTTGGATAATTTTCCCAACTCTATAGTAGTAGGGGAAGGTGCAAGAAAATTAACAAGATATGCAAAATTAAATTGGTTGTCAAAAGGAAATATGACAGCACCTATGGCACATTTCGCTTACAATAAATCTAAAGAAATAGATAGTTCTGATATTAATTTGGATATTGAAGATTACCAGTTATTAGAAGTATTAAAAAGTAAATTTGTGGATACGACATATGATTTCAGACCGATCATTTTCTTGTTTCTTCTAATCTTATATAAAAAAAATATTGATACATGATTTTGATACAATTTTCATCTATATAGATAGTGGAAGCACCGTTGGTTGTATAGCTTATGACGGATGTGCTATTGCTGCAGGTGTTACAAGTGGTGGTTTGAGTAAAAAATTAATGGGCAGCGTAGGCGACTCTTCTGTGTTAGGTTGCAGCACATATGCTAATCGAAATGTAGGATGCTCTCTAACAGGTCATGGCGAATCTGTTATGAAACTTGGTTTATCGAGGATTATCGCGAGCGATATCGAAAAAGGGTGTTCTCCGCGAAAAGCTTTGAAGAAAAATCTCGATTATATGTCAACTAGATATAATCATACTTTTGGAGGGATGATATTTAAGAAATCAGGGGAATGGGACATATATTTTACCTCGCATAAAATGCCGTACGCTGTAATTATGGACGATTGCATGATTTTCGGCGCAGCTTTAGATGAAAAAAACGTGGAAAAATATTTTGAATGTCGGGAACGTCTTCCATGCAATTGCAGTTATCCTTATGTAAATAATATTACCTACATTTTGCGATGCATCGATCTTTGATTTACACTATTATCTACTTCTTCTTTAACGATGTCATGTATCTCGTTTTCTTTTTTCTTTCAGTGCAATTAATGACGAAGGTATCTGCGATACAAAACTATTCAGTTTTCGGAAGTGGCAGAATTATATCGAGTGTCGGAGAGCTGTCTTAATTAATACGCACTGCCCTACCAAGTTAAAATACAATCCAAATATACCAGACGTTAATAGCTTATATATTAAATTTTTGGAATCTATTGGTTCTAAAATAGCCAGAGAGGAACCTGAGATAATTATGCATAAGCATTCGATACCACGTGAACTCGTTTACTCAATGAAACAGTGCATTACCAACGTAAATTATATTGATTTATCATTAAATGAGGTAAACGAATTTTCTCCGACATTAACGCCAAGTTACTCGTATCTTCAACAATTGTTGGAACATCCATTATATGATCTTCCGAGTATTCTCCGAAATGATTTTTCGTCTACAAAATGTGGACACTTGACAAAATCAGAATAGTAAGTAATATTATACAATTTATGAAAGAATTACTTGCTGGTTATAAAATACAATGTATTTATATAAATTATAGGGGAATAATCTTTGTTGGGTAATTGTCTCTTTTTCGTGTTTTAGTATCTACAAATTGATCTCGCAATACGATATGCAATTAGATTTCGTTGATTCAAATTTGCACTTTATTGAAAAAACTGTATCACCTTTCGAGCAAACAAAGATCGCCAGTGTAAAAGATTTGAAAGACGATATTGCGATAGAAGATTCTATGGAAGAGGATATGAAATGTGTTGAGAGAAAAGAAGATTTTACTGATTATCTACATAAAGGGATAGCCTGTCAATTGAAAATTGATGTAAAAAAAAAGCAGTATTACGACGATACTCGGAACGCAATCACAGACAGAACGCAAGCACCTCCGTTAGAATCCGCATTAGTCAATGAATTTATATTTAACGAAATTCTCCCAGATGGCAAATTATCAATCCCAGATAGATGTCTAGATGATGACGAGGGTCAGGATGATGATGCATGCTTAAAAGATATTGGCCCTCAACAAATGGAATTATCATTAACCAAGTTCTGTAAAAGATACAATGCAAATCTGTCACGTACAGAAAAAAGAGCTATATTGAAAGATTTGAGCTGGTCGAAGAAACGGAAACGCAAACTTGTTCGAAATGTGCACGGTAAATTTGTTAAACAAAACGATACGTGTTTCAATACGAAAAGTTCAAAATCATCTTACAAGGATGATTATTGTGCGGAGGAAACTGATATTATTTCAACAGACACTTCCGAAATGGAAAATGTACTACCAGAGATATCAGATATCTTAAATTTAAGTACCAACGCCCAATCTGTTTTTGATCATTTCATGACAACAAAACTTGAAAGCGGATATGCTGTAGATGACCATTCTGAGAAATCTTGTAAAATACTTGAATCGATTATCGACGAATCTCCTTTTATATCGGATAAAAAGCTGAATAGCAACATTCTTAGATTATTTAGACCTTTTAAAGATTATTGGATGTATCATTGCAATTTTAGCCGTGTAAAACCAAAGAATTTTGAATTATTCGAAAAAATGCTACCGCGGAGTTTTCGATGGTTATTAAATGAATGTGCGAGCATCGTCGAAATGTCGACGGAAGACCTGTACGAAGAAGTGTGCCTCGTCGAAGCTTATTACGCATATGTTGTGGAACAATCCAAGATTTATTCGAGTGCAACAAGTAAAACTGACAATTACACTAACCAAGCATATATCAATGCAATTTTGAGGAAATGGTAAAGTGAAATAACGAAAAACATTGTCACATATTGTTCAGTTAGATATTCAACTGTGAATTGGTGATTTGGAACTTGTGATATTATATCGATATCAAATTTTTTACTTATACTGCTGATCTTTTTCACACAGATTTCAATGTGTATGACATTAAATTAATACTATTGACGATTATTAAAACTATTTTTGTATAATGAAAAAAGGATTTAATTCTCTTTTAATTCAACAAATGATTTTTTATGGTTACTATATATTTTTAATTCAAACCTACAAATTTTATTGGGATATATTGTTAGATATGTTTACTTGTCACACTACTTTGAATGCACCAAAATATTAATTGCATTTCCATATATATTAGTATTTTTCTCTCTCTTCCTCCCTTTCACCGTCTCTTCTTCTCTGTCGTAAAAAAAATACGAAAGAAAATTAATATGTATTTTTAATAAGAAAAAGAACTTTTTTAATTAAGTACATGTAAGTATCTGTGTATGTGTGTATAATAATATAAAAAGGTATGTGAAAGAATCCATTATAGTTTCTACTTTATGTCATAATTAATTTCATCTAGTAACTAGTTTGATGCGCGTTAGTATAAAAAAAAAAAAAAAAAAAAAAAAATAGTGATTAGACGTGGTTCAATATAACTGTTGCACTCGACTTGAGGATTTTCCTGGAGCTTTACCCGGGTTGTCCTGGCTCCGGCCGTGTCGACAGTGTCCAATACTCACTGCGTGGCATCGCATCTTGTTTTATTTATCGTGTCAATTTATGAAGATACGATACGATGCCGGCGATGCGATGCGATGCGATATGACGCGAGGCGAAGCGAGAGGTGAGGTGAGGAGAGGGGAGGGACGAGGCGAGGCGAGACGAGAGACGAGACGACTAGACGAGACGAGACGAGGTGCGACGTGCGACGCGGCAAGACGACGCGAAGCGAAGCGACGCGACGCGACGCGATGTGGCTCGACTCGGTTCGGTTCGACGTGCTTGACTTCGGTGCAAGTACTCAGTAGTAAACACCAATCGGTGTAGGGCAGAACGGTGTTGGATGATCTTGTTGCGTTATCACGGCATTCGGCGGCCCGGCGTGCCGCGCATGGAAAGGAGCGTTATCGCGCGGGTGCGCGTGCTGCACAGTTGACAGTGCTGCACGCATCGTTTTCTAAAGAGACACCTGCGATCACATTGTGGGCGCGCGGCCAAGAGACCAGAGGGGACTACCCTCCGTGCCGACCGTGTGCCACGGGTGACGGAGTCGCGCAAAGTCATCGACACCGAGTTCATCAGACATAGCCTTGAACACGTCGCGTAGCCGTGCGTAATTCTGAGGGAGGAGAACGTCTACCTTCGCGTCTACGTTTGTACGACGACGATATAGTCATTCGTGGCCTTCGTCAGAAGGATCCGTTATCCTTACGGGTGAGTTTCTTACAGTGAATCCTCTATACTACTTACTCTCAGCTGGTTATTAGCGATAGTGATAGCGACGGCGACCGCGTTAACCCAGATACGCGGCTGGGAAGGCCGCGGCCGCAACAGAGGCCTCCTGCTTCCTCTTTAGTCGCAGCCAAGACGCTAATTCTTTTACGTTACGAAGGAACGCAATGTTTTTCCCGCCACTCTTACTGCACCAGCGTAAATTACTCTTTACGGGACATGAAATACTATAATATTGTGTCTCGTTCCCTCCCTTCTTCTAACGCCTAAAATTAAAATTACATTTTAAAAATAAACGTATTTTTTTTAAATTTATATCAAGTTAATATACAATTAAATATATAATCTATCATTTAATACGTTTTCTTTTTTTTATAAATCGTTAGATGTATATACTATATATATAACTTTCGTACTTTTGAACATTCCCAAAAATACATATAGCTGGAGAAGGAGAGGGGGAGAAAGAGAAATCGTGATATAATTTTATTGTTAGTCTTTCTCAAAAAATTTAATTCGTATTTATGAAAGTAGCACTGCAATCAAATATCGAGTATCGGAAACACCATCTCGGCACGCATGTGCGTCCGCAAAGAATGGCGCGAAAACGTTAGTCTGGGCCTGAAGTTCCAAGCTCTTGTCCCGCATTATCTATATATATGTATACTTATGTCTTTTATCTTGCACCTGCTGCATTCGAGCTCAAAACATCGGACAGAGTTAGTGAGTTAGTCGATTTGAATTTCTTTTTTTAAACAACTCGTTGATCAAGTTGATGAGAAACACGAGAGAGAGAGAGAGAGAGAGAGAGAGAGAGATCGTATATTAATAATTAAGTCTCGATGAATATTAGCTGAGGCTTAATTTATTTTTCTTTTCTTGGAAAATTTTACATGCATAATGTTATATGCAAATTTTGTCGTTTTCCTATATCTACTTGTTGCTACAATGCTGCTACAATATGAAATTAATTTATTTTAATTATTATCATCGATTTTCATTAAAAGAAAAAAGTGTATAGCTTTCTATCGCAAATCAAAATACGTATTTTTGAGGAAAAAATACTTGGATTTTAAACCGGAAGAGGACTGGACACGATACTGTTCTATTTTAAAAACCGACGGAAAGAAATGTTAAAAGGGACTTGAAAAAATTTTGAATATTTATACCGGCATTCTCAGCTGTAATAAATGAAATCGGATGTTGCGTATGCACACGCACACGCACAGGCACGCGCGCGTGCACGTTTGTACAATACGCGTGCCGTCGTTCGCATTGCAGCGTTTGTCGCATTTTAAGCACGAACCCTATTATCGAAACGGTAGATGATCATTGAGGGTCAACGAGTCGCGAACACCTCACATCACTTGGCAAATAAGCCCTTCCGGTTACGCCTTCGTCATTTGCTTGCCGAAGACATTGTGTAGATAGAAACCGATAGAAACAGTATCGCGATAATACATTTACACATACACGATCGTCGTAACGAGACTACTACGAGTGGTATAGGCAGAAACAACGCAAGGCTGCGTATTTGATACTTGATTATGATTGATGAACCAGCGTAAGTTGATTGCCATCGATGAGGGAAAATGATTATTTTCTTTACAGACATAGCATCAGGGTTCACTGATTTGCCCCAAAAAATATTTCCGATTGAAGTTTTTCTCTGTGTTGTATGTATAAATGTGATATCGCGCACGACTTAACTATACATAATATGTATGTGCTCCTGGCTTAAAGCTCTGTCCATGTACTTAAATTTATCTAGACGTGTAATAAATATTACTGTGCGGATGAAATTTAATTATAGCGTTTGCATCAAACTTGTATAAAAGACGAAATTTGATGATTAAAATAAAAATTAATTTATGTAAAAAAATTGATGAGAGAGAGGGAGGGGGGGGGGGAGGACCATTTTTTGGTTTACTTGCGCGATGTAACGCAAAAGCAAGATGCATTCCATTATTAATGCGTCTTGATATATATCCAAGTAATCAAAGCGAATCGAAAGATGAAATGCATCCGTATTAATGCGTCATTATTTATCTATCGATCCTGCGAAACAGTATAAGAAATCAGTAATTAGTCTTCTACGGTCCGTTTGTCGCATTTTTTTTGCCGCCTATTTTTACGGAGGAAAACCATTATTCGCTACAACAAGGGCAGTTAGCATCGCCATATACTGCATAGTTGATTGATTTGGAATTAATTTAAATCCCCGTTATTTCGACTTTAACATCTGGTTAAAAATACAAATTAATCGAATCTTCCGTTGAAAGCATGGCATCAAATCAAATAAAATGATATATCGTAGTTCGTATATACATATTGTAGTACGCGAGAGGGGGTTTTCCTTGCGCTCGATCCTTGTTATCAATTGAAATTCCGTGCAAATATTTCTAATTCTATGGGTATAGATCTAGATAGTCCGAATGCTGATGAAATATAATATTAGAGTAGAAAATACTACATGTCGACTACAAGCTGTGATTTCCTCCATCACATCTCCACCCGCATATATGCGCTTATACATGGCTTACATTAAAGTCGCACCTGTTTTCGATTCCGGGCTTTGATAATCTAAACACGATTTATTCTGCCTTTATTGCACACGTGTTTGACGATTGCGCAATGCAAAGGTGTTAGAAATCGTTGTTGTTCGATTAGCAGTCTACATCCAAGCGAAACTTGGCAGACTGACGTTCGAATAAATTCGTCAAATGATTTATATGTTGATTTTAACTTGAGTTATGTTTGAAAAAATTTGTGAAAAGACCACTTCCACTTTGTCATGATAGGCTAAATAAAGAAAAATTTGTCGAAAGAAGCAATTACATCGTATGTTATTATATATGTATATACGAATACATTTCATTGATTGTTTTTTTTTAACCTATATAGAAATTAATGTGCGTATCGCGCGATTATTAATGTTCATCGATCGCCTCAAGGCTGATCGACGTTGTCTGCCTGTTGGGACAAATTTCGTATCTCCCATTGCAATACCTATATACATTCTCCGCGTAGCGTGAATACTCGAGATGAAAGCGAAAGGACGACATGATATAATTTGTCTCTCTACGAAACACGTGAACAATTTCGCATAATGTCAAGTATATGCATCCGCCACGGTGTCTTTCAAGTTTAAAATATTATTGCGTCTGCATCTTATTACCTCAAAGTCGCGCGTCCTTTTTTTAATAATAAATTGTTATTTGCTTATTAGATGAGCAAGATTTTTCTCCGCGCAATTCGCTCTCACCTCTCACCCTGAGCAGTGAGCACCCCGCTCACGTCGGGCATTCACGCCGCGTGGCGAGATACACCGAATGCAAATTGAATTCCGAATGTAACCGGTGCGCTCACCTTGGCCCACTCTTTCAGGTTGTGTCTTATTTGCGTTTTTTTAATCAGCGAATAAATATATACCTATACTTGCGCGCAAGTAATCCAAACGTGTTTTTATTTTGACATCATCTAAATCTGCAAGATTTCATAAAAAACAAACTGTGGTGCAGTAGTATCGCTATATATTGCACGATGCAATGCCAATAGCTGTTTCAGCTTCAAATTTCATCTCCAACTTTATAGAAACGATGGATACAATGCGTACGCATTCTGATACATGTGCAGATGTGAATCGCAATTCCTGCGGAAGGAAGTTTGTTTCACTATATATAACTGTCAAAGATAAGTCTGATATAGATTTAATACAATTTTATTTGAATTTGCAGCAAATAATCTCACTATCAGTTGCTATTTGTTTGATTGCTAGTTTTCGATTTTAATAATAAATACTTGCATCTTGATATGAATTATGTAATAATGTATGAGACTGTATAAAATCATCAATAGATGTTATAGGATATTATCTGACTGAACAGAGAATAGGCTATTATAACGCTATCTTTGTATAATCATAATCGCGACTCATAATCATCATCGAATCATAATCGATTTGTACTACAATATTTGAAGGGATATAGTTAAAATCCCAAAGAAAAATAATTGTTTATATTATTATATATTAAATTAAAAGTATTGCTTGGTCCTAATTTTAAAAGTGTTTTCGCTTGCGTCGCAATGTAACGACGCAATGAATTAATTAGTATTCTTCTCACAGACTTGATGTTAGTTGGTTACCTTTCAGTTGCGACGTCCGAATACTCACATGGAATACAATTTTCTAATAGTTTTTATAGTTAATTCCGCAAAATCCTCCGTAACCAAAACCAATTTAAATCCGCTTTTTGTTACCTCAGTATCAGAAGATTAATGCAAAAATTAATTTTGTCCATGCCTCAGTCAGCTATAATTGTTTTGAAAATAGATCTTTTAGATTAAATGCGTAAACAGCCGTGGTATTTTATTATTGGAATTATTTTGCATATTTGAGGGCTAATTGAATCTCTTTCTCTCTCTCTCTCTCTCTCTCTCTCTCTCTCTCTCTCTCTCTCTCTCTCGTGACTAAATCATAAAATCTGACGAATTATGAATACTTACAAATTCAGTAAATGTAAACATTTCATGTGTTGTCATTGAAAATAGCGTATTTGAATTGCACCAAGCTCGAAATAACCGGAAAATTATTAATTATTTAATCGAAATTTATCTTTCGAGACTGTTATTTCTTGTTCCATTCGATTGCTTAATAAAAGTCAATACGCATCTTGAATCTTCCAGTTTGCATAAGTAACGTGCAATGGCAATGGAGAGTAATTGCGCTATTTACCTCGCTAATCCGACGTTGAACGTTCGCTGTAGACATCTATCTGACTTTTTGCTATAGTCAAACACAAAAATTTTGGAGCTGTAATTTTAGAGTATGTATTATGTTTTATCCATACGCATTACTGGCTTTTTTTTTATTTGCAGTGTTTTGTCGTTTGGAAAGTTAATTAGCCAGCATTTGGAAAGAATGGCGACGAATTAGCGCAATTAGAAATTGAAGTGAAAGTTTTGTGTATTATTGGAAAACTATTCGTTAGAATTTCGTCGACGAAATTATTTTTAATCCCCTTTAAATTCTTATCGAGGGTGTATTATGATTAATCGATTACAAAAAACGAAATATGTTTAAGTGTGTACGTATTTCCTGCTACGTAATTTTTTTGATCTCTTATACCATTTTGCTTCTTATTTTTTAAGAGAAAAAATTAGTTAAAGGATATTAATAATGACGAAAATTTCAACGCAAAAATTCGAACAATTTTTCATTATCGGTGATCGTTGCCACAATTTCTATAACGAACCGACGAATTTAAAGACGATGATTACACGGCGCTGATACTCCTCTTAATCTCTGTACGGTTAGATACACACAGAAATATACTCGCGTAAGATTTTAAGCCTCTACTACTATTGTGTTTCTTTAGCACGCGGTATCCCGCAAGTCAATAAAGCCACGACCTATCGATCCCATCTGTCTTTCTCTTTAACTGCCCTATCTCTTCCTTCCTTCTCTTCTCGAAGGCGAGGTGGCGCGCTACTATAAAAGAGAGATGAGAGAGTATTTATAAAGAGAAAGAGAGAGAGAGAGAGAGAGAGAGAGAGAGAGAGAGAGACCGACCACCTTCAGTAAGGATGCTAAAATTCAAAAGTAGGCAGATTAGTAGGTACATAGCATTTATTAATCTTTGATCGGATTGCATTACCTGCAGTGAAAGAATAACAATGCCATGTTATTATCATACATACTTGCGTAAATATCGGAGAGAAATCGACAAGTGATTCTACATAAGATCGACTTTAGATCTCGTATTGAGAGAATTGGAGAAATCTGTTTTTGCGTTTTTATTATACATATACATATACCTATCTAGCGAACTAATTCAGAAATTGGTACCAACTAAAGATCGTGATCGTAATTGCGATCGTGATCCAATAGTGTTAGAAGTGTTTGCATAATCTTGATTTTTCTACAATAATTGTAGTTTAATATACAGTTGCAGCTTATTATTAGTTGCAGTTTAGTTATTGCATCTGATGCATACTTCCATTATATTACGTTTCGTTACGTTGTTGATTAGACTGTTCGCGCAAAGTACAATAATTACTAATTGTAAGTGACATAATATTTTGTCATAATTAGTTGGTTGATAGGGTTGAAACAGCGTTGACAGCGCTGCAGTCATCTGTGTATAGCTATCTAGGTATACGATGGCGCTCGTCTTGAGAGAAATAGCTCTTTATTGTACATGCTTCTTGCTCTAAATTGTCAGTTAAGCACATACCTCTGGAAGACATTAACTTTAAACGAGCAATTCGGTATAAAAGAAACAGGACAATGCTAGCCCAAGTATTATCGCGTCTCGAGTATCTAGGTCAAAGACAGAATGATATCGCGTAGGGTGACTGCGTTTGTCGCGTCGCGGTCGGTTCGTCGGACAACGTCAGTGCATCTGTCTATATATGTACGTCAGGACATGCTAGTCGCGGTATTAGCTGAAAAATAGAAGCTTATGGATATCCATCCGAACGACAGGCAGTTGCAGGTGCGAGGTGTTTGCGGACAGATCATCGCGCTGCTCGCTCCCGTGATAATTTTACTAGCGAGCTTTCCAGAAGAAGTTGACATGCCAAAGATTTTCAAGATTACTCGCTTTTAAAGCTTGCAATTATTTCGATATATGATAGTCGGAATAAACTATTTATATAAAATCTTACGCTCCGAGTAGCATATCCGTTGCTACGTTATATTTTCTGATGGATCGTCTATTAACGACATCCCGATGGATATTTTTAATTAGACTATTAATGTTAATGTGACGCTGATTTTCTAATGCTGATGGATGGAACTTTGCTCGACAATATGCGTAAATATTATCGTTTTGATTATGTTTTTAGGACAATAATGAAATGATATTTTATTTATGATAATTAAATAGATTGCGTTGCACATTTAGGCATGTACAGGTTTTTAATTATATACTTGTATACAGGTTTGCGATTATGTTTACTCGGCGAAAACACGTGTTTCACACTTTCAGACTTATAACCGCTTATAAAGTAAGCAAAAAGCTTCTATTCATCAATGTATCCGCGACTATTTTTTTTTCTTTCTTTGCTCCTTTGTTTCTTCTTCTTACAGGATTCGAAGAAGCTTTTTTTCGGATTCTCTCCTTTCACTTAGCTTTAAAGTTTAATATCCCTTACTATATCTTATTATCTTTACGGAAGCGTGGTATTGGTGAAATATTGTTCAAAGATTCGCTGTGGGTATACTATTATACATATTTGTTGCATTTCTCGTAAATCATTTTTCTTTTTATGTATTTCAGATGAGGTAAATCGCCCGATCTGGTTAAAGACTTTTTATTAATAAATGACGGTAAATTTTGAGTTAATCCATTCCTTATAACGTCAATAAAGTCTTGTCGATAGAATTGACAGCGAGATGCTATTGTTTTCCTTAAAAAACAAAAAAAAAAGTAAGTTCGATGTCTTACAAAAGCAGCGAGCAACTATAGGGGTTCATCGAGATGACTACTATACTTACTAAGTTTTTCCAATTTAACAATTTCAATATTGTAGCTACTATATATTTACTACTAATACCTACGTATCTTTTTTCTCTTTATTCTTCCTACATTAGTCGAACTTCTTTCTTTATTACTTTATTTCTCAATCTCTTAGCTTATAGTAAATTGTATTGTTAAAGTTCTTTGTTTTTCGTGTTAGTGCTATAACATAATTACATGCAGTAGTTATTCCTTAATCGTAATTTGTTTCAATTCGGGATTATTGATTATTCACTTTGTTAGCGGCGATTTCACCTGCTTGCCTATCTATATGCTTGTTGCGCAACTCCTTTTTCCTCCTGTACTTCCTTGAATCATTTTCATCAATAAGACACAAATTTCGCGGAGCGTCGAATACCGCGGCGCGGGGGTGTGGTTACTCACTGGAATGGGAATGAAAGGTATTTTCGGGCATAAGAATTTTCGCAGCTGGAAAATTCTCTGGCCCGGCGCCAACGATTTCAGTCGATTCTAACTACTTATATTCGTCTACGAGATTATTTTCTCTTCTTTTTTTTGGTCATGAATCAGAGATCCATAGCCAGAGATCTATGCGAGTGGACGCCTTCGTTGCCTTCGTTAACTTTAAGATTAAATAAGCAGTTTATTTAATATAGCTCATTGGTATATTAAATTGACCCTGTGCCATACCGTCGCGGTCGGACCCAATATTTCGGATTAATAAATTATGTCGAGTAATAAATTTGGAACGAGAATATTTTAAGAACACTAAATTTAAGAAACATTCCAATATCAAAATAAAATTATAAAATAAAAATTAAAAACAGTATACGCTATCGAGACTCGAAAGCAAATGATTGCAGAATAATTTAGTTTAATTTAATCATTCGTGTTTTCGTTCTTTTATAAAGAGAATCACATTTGTGATAATCTCTATTTCTATTGCTCAAATGGAGAATGATGATGGAGCGCGAGTGTGTAATCCGTTCGCAAATTAGCTCATATAGTGACCTTACCATTTGAATCGTAGAAAGAGATTCGCCGGTAGTGGAGATTAACGTTAAATATCTAACCTTGTCTCGTTTCGCAAACGACGTTTTACTTTTACACTATAACGTACCACTAGATACGTTCAATTAAAAAAATTTACGGGACAATATTTTCAATATATTTGCTGTTCGTTTTATCATCTCGCGACTATTCTATTTGTTAATTTTACACTATAGGACACAGTTACACGTAATTCGGAACGAAGAGTTTTGGCCGATGATAAGTTCATCTCTTACGTTTATTCACTTATACTATCACTTTACATTGGATTTAAGAATGAGTAAATGCAATGTGTGCGCAAGTACAGTACCTATAATATATAACAAACGCTTGTTAGATTTTTTCAACATTATAATTCAACGTAAATAATCGTTCGGACCGTTATTATTCGTTATTATAATGTTGTAATGCGCTATATGTTATGTGATTACAAGATATTGAGACACATTATTATTTTAAGAGTCATAATCGCATCGCGATGTGTTTATAACACGCTTAAAAGGAAACAAAATCATCAACGATCGCTGTGTCGGAACAACAGTGCGTCAAACATATCGCGTGCTTGCATATTTGTTAATATTATCAAGCTCATATACATGGATTCCATATTAAATCTCATTCCATATTAAATCGACTACCCCCCGCTCAGAATTCTATCTAATTAAATGTAACGTGTATAGGATACGAAAATTTAGATTAAAGCCTCTAGTTTTTGATGCCATGTAGCGATTTGGAAAAATATGACTTTGATTTCATCCTACTTTTTTATATCAAACTAGCGTTACAGACGTACGCTTCGTGCGCAATATTTAATATTTTTTACTTTCTACTTATATATATTTGTTATTACACTATGAACTTCAATATATACACAACTGTCAATATATGACAGCCGCTCACGAAGTAAGTGAAGCGAGAGAACTAATCAGCATCACGGAAAAGCGATAAACTTCAATAGATTCTAGTATATCGACTTAACACGCCTTTTTTTTAGAAATGGATAGAAAAAGTAATTTTTTTCATTTTCTTATTCCAATTGTTACTATTTTATGAAAAATTAGTACAATAGTCATTTTCAACGTAATTTTGCATTGCTAAATCCAAATCTGACAATTAATTAAAATAATGCTATATTTAATTTAATTTTTTTAAAATAAAATATTGTTTTTCTCTTAATATGGATTTTTAAGCTATAAAGTGAATCAGTTATCGTACAGTTTTCCGTACAATTATTCCGTATAAAAATTACATTTTCTGTTTGTCAGTATCAGTTTTTGATAAGTTTTTAATCTAATATAAATATGTAAATACATGAGATACAATTAAATGATGTAGCTATACGATAATTGGCTAATTTCATAGAAATATTAAAAAGAGAAAAGAGCATTCTTAAAAATAATGTAACTATTTTTATCTTCTAAAAGTGGATACCAATAAAAACTAAATGTATATTTGCAAAAACAATTATGATGAAAATCGACAATTTTTATCATTTTGGTTACTTTTTGTAATCTAAATATATTATTGGTTAATTTTAATTTTAGATTTGGTTGTGGAATGTTCTTAGCTAAGTCTCGATAATGCCTCACAATCAGTAATACATGTTGCAGTATGTGTAATTAAATAAGTCGCAATTAAATAAGCACTCGCAAGTGTACGTGCATTACACACCTTGCATAGCTCCTCAGATTTATTTCAGATCGAATACAGGATATACTTACGCTGGATTATGCGATAACATGACATACCTTGTTGACGTGATATATTTGTCTAAAAAGATATATAGATGAGAAATAGATAAATATAAAAGCGTTTATTAATTGCTATTCTAGGGCACAAATCCTCTAACAAAGAACAAAAATAATAAAAGAAAAGAAAATACAGAACGAAGAATGTATAAAAATGAAAAATAACAAAAATAAACTGATAATGTGGAAGAAAATTATAACGAAAGTAAAAACCGAAATAAAAGTAAACAATGAGACAGAGAGAGAGAAAGGGGGGGGACTTGACACTGAGGAACGATTTCTGTGATGAGAAGAAGTCGCGCTTGATTCGCACGGTGATGATCACCCGAATAACATAGACCTTATATAGAAGAAGAGAACGTAGATAAGAGAGACAAATTTCATTGATTTTTTTTCCATGCATCAGTGACGACAAGCCGACGAAAGTGGAAGCTAAAGCTGATCGCGGCAGCGGGAGGATAACAGCTGGCAGGAAGCTGAGGTTAGCAGCGAGGTGTCATCACGCGTCACGCCGGGGTGGTGGGTCTATGGGGGGTTCCGCCCCAGCGGTCCCCCGGCTCGAGTCCAACCGGCAACTGCCGGAACGGTGGTGCCATCCTGGCACGGGCCAAGACCGCCCCGCTTCCGGTACCACCGTCCAAACGGATGAAGAGTCCTTCCAACATCATGAGGCAGTCCAGCCTCACGAAACTTGGTTCTATGATCAACACCGCCGTCAACAAACGTGCCGGTGAGTTTCTTATCTGTCTAATCTCTAATCTTATCTTTATATCTTGCCATTTCTCGAGACACGCAAAACTCAAACTTTTTTATGATAATTAATAAAGGACGACGGATATAATAACCAAAGGACTTAGCAAATCATGTCTAAGCACAGACTTAGCACATCAAAAACTGTATAAGGAAAGATGCATAAAAAAAGTTCCATCGCTTAGGCTAAAATTTGGTTATTTTACCATTGTCCTTTATGGAAATGTTATTTGCAAGGATTATCGTTTTCTTTTTCTTGTGTCATAGATAGAATTTATTTTTTCTAAATAAATTTGTAGAATCCTTATTAGATCGTCTTTGGTAGATTTGTACGCCTGTAAATGAGGAGAAAAAAATAGATACTCGATATTTACTTTCAGTTTCAACTCTAAACGCGTGGGTACGTGTTGTGCAATGTGACACGACAAACTTTAAACTAAAATTGGTTTTTCCTTTCGCGCCCGTCCACGTGGCTAAGCGTTTACGCTTCCGTTTCGAGACGACGAGTCTTTCCCCAGGCGCGTCGCCGCGCGTCGCAACGAATTGACGGACAAACGTATAATATAAATTTGTACAAATATACTATAATACACGTTTAATAATATAATTTATTTCTTTTTTTTTTTTTCTTTCTTCGCTATACTAACCTGGCGTACTGCAACTTTTATCAGCTTTTATTTTATAAATCATCTGTCGTGTACGTAGCGTGCTTGATATTCATGGAATCTTCTTTTACTTTCGTTAATGAAGGAAGAAATGAACATTGAAGTTTTATTATCAAAAGTATATTTGAGCTAGCTGGAGAATCCCAATCTCTCTCTCTCTCTCTCTCTCTCTCATATTTGGCGACCAATTAGTAAACACTTTCACGCCAGGATTGTCATTGCGCGAGAAGAATTCTAGATTTACCACAATTCGTTACAATTGTTGTGCAGGAAAACTCGAGTGTCGTGATTGTTGCGGTTGTCACGATTGTCGCGATTGTCGCATTGCAACAAGGTAAACCTTGATGATGATATACAAGGATATAGGTATTCGCGTGCGTGTTGGAAGAAACGCTGTCGCTGTCGATTCGAATGAAAATATGGTTCGTTACATGATGACCAAACGGAAGGAAGAGAAGGACGCGCCGAATGCCGTTTGCGCCGAACAAAATTACTTCCGTGAGTATCGAACCAAGATCCCTGGCTCGTGAATGATTTCCAACGCAAAAGCCCATGGCATATAAGCCAACGTGTCGAAAAGCTAAAAGAATAAGCGATTCGATTGCGGCGACTCTATCTAAAATTACATACATATATCTAAATTCTAGTGCATAAATAAGCGCAATTCGTAGATTGAAGTTACAGCAAATAATATAATTATAAAACAAACCCTTCGAATTACGTTGTTTTAAACATACGCGAGATATATTATCATATATTGCGGTACGCAGGTGTTGAAATTCTAGCGGAGATGCAATCTCGTTAGTACGAATGTATTAACGTAGCGAGTCTAATACGTTGGGCGTACAAAGCAAGCTTCGTGGCTCGTTCGAGTTTCGCCTGCTCGCGGTACCACTTTGAGATAGTCCCGAGCGTCGCCTTTTGAACCCGCATGTTCGTGAAGAATCAATCGCCGCGAATTGAGTCGTCGTTGATCGATCGGTCGAGCGATAAATTTTCGATCGCTCTCGAATGATAAACTGTGGTTGAATCGCAAGCGGTGATTAACTTTTCGAGCTAATTTCGGAAAATGGATCGATCGGAAATCCGTGCCTCTAGGACGTTGGTGCACACGCGAACAAATACGAATTCGCCGCTGTTTTCCTCCCTCGAGGAGTTACACGACAAATTAACGGAGCTTTTAGGTAAATTCTTCAACATCATTGAGAGTGAGAAAACTTGTAAAGGTATTCGGCCAGCCATCCGGTTATCCGGGAGATAATTTGTTAAATTTCCTCTTTGATTGTGAGACGAGCTTACCGTACCGTAGAATGTACTAACAAATATAATCCGCGCATAATAAACATCCACTTCGTGGATACGTGCAGGCTGTGCTGATGCCATGACCTAACACGCTTTTGCAAAATTATCTCTGTTTTTATGAGTATCGTTTACGAGTATTGTTATTACGCCGACAAATTGCGTTCGCGATTAGGAGCCATGTGATTTGGAGACTCGCTTTCGCCTTGAACATTACATTATTGTACGATTAAAAACGTAATAGTGCAGGTTGTCTCCTCGTTAAAGATATCGAAACGTTTTGTAAAGATAATTTTTCTCTCTAAAAGCACAATTTTATTATAATATATCTAACGTAAACATAAATGTTAATGAACAATTCACGCTTCTTGTTATCACGTTACACGGTTACTATTACTAATTGTAAGTTTGATATAGACAAAAAGGAATAACTTTTTCTCGAGACAGAGGGAGAGAGAGAGAGAGAGGGGGGGGAGGGAATTGTCATCTATATATAAATTAAACAGCGACAGCGACTATGCATGATCAATACACGTTCGATAAGATAGATTACTCGACATCGTTATGTATGTCGTTTCTTGTTTTTTTTTTCGCGGATGCGAAGAGATTCGCTACAGGACATTCTAGGACGTACGTTCTTTGATAAAAGAAAATATATTCGTCGTGCATCTCTTTCTTACATCATTACTTTTGTACTTTTTATAAAAGTGTCATTTTAAAACGTTTGCATCTCGTGTTGAAATTAAGAAACGTCTACTTAATTCTTAAAAACACTCCCAAGTTAATTTCTCTAAAAAAATCCGCTAAAAGATTTGTAATGTAAGTTGTCATCGAGTTTTTATTTAAAAAATTTTTATAAAAAAAAACAATAAATTGTTATTTGTCTTATATTGTTGTAATTGTACGCGCTATAATGATTTATGATATCATTTTTGTATATACGAAGACGGAAAAGAAATTCGTGTGGTCTTCGCGAGAATAAATATCGTCGCTATCTTGAATTTCGAGATATATATACCTATATATATATGCTTTTGATCATTATTCGTCTACATTATTCGAATACTGTCGGAATGCTTTATTTATATTTTTCCAATTGTTTGCTATCCAATAAGTACTGTTGACTGGACATAAATAATTGTATATTGGAAGAGAAAAGGAAGAAACAATATCTTGAATCTAACTAAGAATGCAACGTAACTTTTTAAAGTTGCCGCGTAACATTCATCATTCGCATTGCGTCGCGCGTTCTCGACCATCCTCGTCTATTCTCGGGGACGCATTCGCGCGCAGACTCTGCGCGCGTTGCCGATGATCACCGAGCTGACCGAGCGCGTGTAAGATGGTGGTTACCGCGGCGGAGCCGCGGAGCGGAGGTAGCGAAAAGCGGAACCTGGCTGTGCGCAGTGACGTCACGCCATAGTCGTGTTGTGCGGTTATGCGCCTGTGAACTTCCGCCATTGAGAGCAGCCGCGTTACTGATCGAGAGCGCTTTATAGCACGGTGGTTGACCGGAAATATGTGACAGAGGATCGGTGGCGTACAGCCCGAATCTCGCGTGTTTCTCGCGTAGCGAACGATCTCCTCGTCGCGCGTCCGCATCGCCGGTGTGGTGCCGCGTGTGCACGCGCGCGCGCACGGACGGACGAACGAACGAACGAACGAACGAACGAACGTGTCCTGCTCCGTGAGAGAGAGCGTACACTCGCCGTTGAGTTTGAGCTACTTGAGCCCCGCACCGGGAGCGCTCATAAACTCTCCGCTTGCGTTTGTTGACCCTTGTGTGTCGTGTTGAGATGGCCGGTGGTAAGTAGTGCTCTGTGACTCTTGATAAGCCGGCGTATACCGCGCATATCCACGCCGCCAACGACGCGCGACAGCTACGACGCGTTGCTGCTCCTGCTCCTGCTCCTCTACTGGGCAGCTCGCCTCCTCGCATCTTCGTATCTTTGCATCTTCGCTTCCTCGCTTCACCGAAGGCGAAGTGAACCTTGACCTAGATTAGGGACGCAGGTCGCGTGGTACTCGCTCTCTAGGTCCTCGCGTCTCTCTTCGCGTAATAGCGCATCATTCGCGCCCGTACTCCGGATTCTCCCCGTGTGCGTGGGAGAGGGGGACGGGCAAATACCTATGTGCCTGTCGCCGGTGACGGCGACGACAGCGGTGGTGGCGGCGGCGACGGCGGCGGTGGTAGCGACGGCGGCGTCGGCGGCGGCGGCGACGACAACGACGCGGACGACGACATCGACGACGACGACGACGACGACAACGACGACGACGACGACGACGACAGTGGTGGTGGTGGTGGCGGTGGTGGTGGTGACGGTGGCGGTGGTGGTGGCGGCAGCGACGGCGGCGGTGGCGACGGCGACGACGACGGCGGCGGCCTAGAAACACGATGGATTACGCCGAAACTTCAAGTAGGCTCACTTTTCTCTCTGATCCCGCCTCGTCTATTCGCACTCTCTGCAATCGTATCAATTCTCGCGCGACCTTCGCAGGAGGACTTCGTGCCGGCCATCTTCACCCGTGGCCCCCTCGCGTCTCTCCACTCTATTGCTCAGTCTTGTATAGTATTTCCCAAGTGATTTCAACAAGACTCCAAACAATTATTTTTCAACAATTATGATTACTTGATCCTTTGTTTGTAGACACATGTGCTTTGTTCAAAATAATGCTATACAACTTTCATAATGTTTTTAATCGAATTTTGAAGAATATCATCGATGGCAGATTAAATTGGGAAGCGTTTCCGCGATGAGATGCATTCGTTTGTGTTCCTTCAAGCAGGTGCACAACAGTAGACTAACAACAATTTTGCTTTACTCCTTTCAACTTGATCTATGTCATTTCTACCACTTTTTTCTGCCTTTCTCGTCTTTCCCTTGCTAATGTGCATACTTAATATATGTAAATTTTTTCAATTTCACTCAAGGCTTTGCAAAATAACAAATTATGCTATTTTTCTTCATTCCCTGCTGTTACATATTTAATATTTTTCTTGTTTTTGTTGGGAATATGGCACCCTATATGTAAACAGAGTTATATTCAATTTTTTTAACTTTTCAACTATATTACAGTTCAACTTTTAAACAATTATTGCATCTTTATTACTTCTGGTTCTCATTTATATAGATTGTATAAATCGAATGTTTTATACAATATTTTGTAAACATTTTACATATAATACTTATGTAGCGTATTTTCCATGCGCAAACATTCAATCTCTAATTTTTTTAAACCTGAATCTTATTCTATAAAATAAAAAAAATTAAAATTAGGTTTATTGTGCAACATATTTTATCTTCTACTTTTTTCATTTATCTATTACGACTTGAAAATTGCTGTTGACAAAGACTAAAACGCCCTGATTTTTCTGATCAAGATACAAAATATGATTGATTATTCTAAAGTAATTTTTATTATTATTTACTAAGTTAATGTCAATGTCTGAGAAATGAGCAATAGAAGAGTTATTTCGTTTTAAAATTACTTAATATTTATTATATTGCAGGCAATGGTGACATACAATGGTGTTTCTCACAAGTAAAGGGGACCTTAGAAGATGATGTTACGGAAGGCAAGTTTGACCTGTATTTGCATAGTTCCTGGGAGGGAGAGAGAGAGAAGCATCTTGTCTTTTATCTTATCAGTTTAAACATACCAAAATAAAACAAACAACTAGTCGCGAATCACGACTTTGCATATGTATCTAGATTCAAAATTTATCTCATGTAGTACACACAAATTCATTTTCTTTTAGTTTAGCATTAATTAATAATTAATATATGCTTACATCAAGATGTTTTTTTTTTTCGCATTTCTTCTCATGCACTGTATAACATCATTTATAAATATGGGTATTCTGTTCTTTTATTGCAGCTGATATAATCTCATGTGTTGAATTTAATCATGATGGTGATCTCCTTGCGACAGGAGACAAGGGTGGACGCGTTGTTATTTTTCAGAGGGACCCCATTGTAAGTGTTATTGTAATTGTACAATTTAAAAGATAGACAAATTTTAAATAAAAAAATATTTTCTGTTTTACTATATATGTATTATTCAAACAATCCAATTATTACAATAATAATTATGTATGTGTACAAATACACACACATGCACATACACATATCTCATTTTATAATGCAAATATATATATATATGGGCATTATAAAATGATGAGGATTATAAATTTTCAAGTGTAATACTCGGATTGTTATAACTGAATTAATATTAAGATACCTATTAAAGTAATAAATTATAAAGATATTAATTGTTTATACAGAGTAAAAACAGTATACCACGAAGAGGCGAATACAATGTGTATAGCACTTTCCAGAGCCACGAGCCTGAGTTTGATTATCTAAAATCGCTAGAAATAGAAGAAAAAATTAATAAAATTAGGTGGTTAAAAAGAAAAAATCCTGCTCACTTTTTGCTCTCCACGAATGATAAAACAATCAAGTTGTGGAAGGTTAGTGAGAGAGATAAAAGAGTAGAGGGATATAATACGAAAGAGGAAAATGGCACGATACGTGATCCTGCCTGCATCACTGCCTTGAGGGTAAAGAATTCTGAATTATATACTTAATTTAGATTTAATACATATTGTTGTAAATATGCGCAACAATATAATAGTAATTTTTAATTATGAAATTTATTATGAAACAAGTGGTATAACCATGCATATGTTACATCGTTGCGTAGGTGCCAACCATAAAACCAATGGAGTTGATGGTAGAGGCATCACCAAGGAGAATATTTGCCAATGCGCACACCTATCACATAAACAGTATAAGTGTCAACAGTGATCAAGAGACATACCTCAGTGCTGATGATCTTAGAATAAATCTTTGGCACCTTGAGATAACTGACCAGAGTTTTAGTATCCTTTCTTCTTTATAATCGTGTATTACAATATTTTTACAATGAATGCAAGTTTCTGCAATATTTTGGCGCGCGCGCACACACACACACACACACACACACACACGCACACACACACACACACACCTTTATGAATGTATATAATTTTCCTAACCATAGCATATAGATATAGTAGACATTAAGCCAACTAATATGGAAGAATTAACGGAAGTCATAACTGCAGCGGAATTTCATCCTGCAGAATGCAACGTGTTAGTGTACAGCAGTAGCAAAGGTACCATTAGACTTTGCGATATGAGGTCTGCTGCTCTCTGCGATCAGCACAGCAAGCTCTTCGAGGAACCTGAAGATCCAACTAATAGGAGTTTTTTCTCAGAAATTATTTCAAGCATAAGCGATGTAAAGCTCAGTAATTCTGGAAGATACATGATTAGTAGGGACTACCTCAGCGTGAAAGTGTGGGACTTGCAAATGGAAACAAAACCAATTGAGTGTTATCCCGTAAGTTTGTATATTCATAAGGAAAGCGATATACCTATTGCTTTATAGAGACGAAATATGCTATTGATATGCCATTGTCGTAAACCATCACTTTCTATAAAGACCTATCTCTACATCTATCATAAGTTGATCGCAAACATGTTGCGATAGCCAATCAGAAATGTCAGCCGCAACATCGCTTGCGATCGATATCGCTTTACGATAGATATAATAAATAGGCCTTAACAATGCTTTTTTTTTTTTTTTTTTCATTTTATTACAGGATATGTACAATACATAACTGTTTATATATAACTTTTGTGTTTTTACAACAGGTACATGAATACTTAAGATCAAAATTATGTTCATTGTATGAAAATGACTGCATCTTCGACAAATTTGAATGTTGTTGGAGTGGTAATGACTCTGCGATTATGACGGGCTCGTACAACAATTTCTTCAGAGTATTTGATCGTACGACTAAACGTGATCTTACTTTAGAGGCAGCACGCGATATTGCCAAACCAAAAACGCTCCTGAAGCCAAGAAAGGTTGGCATAGATCTATTTATGAGTTCTTGTTTTATTCCCAAGAGTCGTAGTCTCAAGTATTGTACATCGACTCGCTGATTTCTTATGATTCGAATACTTATGCTTGCATGCAATTATATATGGTACAGGTATGCACCGGTGGTAAACGCAAGAAGGATGAGATTAGCGTCGATTGTTTGGACTTTAATAAGAAAATACTTCATACTGCATGGCATCCATCTGAAAATGTGGTGGCTGTCGCTGCAACGAACAATCTCTTCCTATTCCAAGACAAACTCTAGCATATCTGTATGCAAGTATGTAAATAATTTGAATTGAATATTAAGATTAAACTAGAGAGATTATTATATATGATGTAAACACCAATTGTGTCTCTTGTAGATTATACAACGGTATATATTGACGTGAGCTAGGCACGTGAACTGAAAACTCCCAGTGGAACCGAGTAACGGGTATCCGAGTAATAGTGACGATAGTCAACTACTAGTCTGTCAGTGGTTGACTGACCGAGAAGTGGTGTACGTAGCGCCGTCCATGCAGCTCACATTCATACATGTTATATACAGAGACATACCAGAATTGTGCACAACCTCTCATACTTTGTCGCGTGCATATGTGTACGAAAAGAGAGATGTGCAACATACGCGAAACATACGCATAATTTTCTCCAGGCTATCAATAAATTCGCTAGCTCAAATATATCCGCAGATGAAAAGAGACGTACGCATTCGGCAGAATATGTGATTCAATCAATTCGCAGACTCGTGTTGGCAGTTGATATATAACTTATGAAATACTAATGGTTAGTAATTTTTTGCTTGTATTATAAAAATTGTGCCATCGCACAGTGTGTAGTCTATATGTAACTTCGCTACTTCGACTACCAGGGTGTTTGGTCATCACATTGATGAAACGGGCGAGAAAAAACGGTGTGAATAGAGTGGAGATTACAAGCCGCTCTCGCTGCGATTATGTACAATTCATATGTGAATATGTGGTACAAACTTTAAGTTTTCCTTAATTAATATGCTTAACTAGCGAAAAAAAAAAACGAAAAAAAAGCGAAAGGGGTCAGTCGTGCCAATGAGATTTATTCATAACTATTGTAATGATATAATTTTACTTATTGCTATGCGGCACTTGCGAATTACAAATGAGAAGAAAAAAAAAATATGCGATAGTCGCCAAAGCTAATTTTTCTTCTACAATTACTTTGCAATTAATATAGTCGATCCGAGTATTACTGACCTCGACGTAAGAATACAGAGTAAGTAAATAAGATTTACGAATAGTGCTTGTAGAATCGCGAATCATTATGAAAGAGTTACCATTATGAATGAGTTTGACTTTCGGCAAAAGTGTAACTTGTGTCTATACATTATTTGTCTACCATTTACAATGCGGTACCACACTTGTTAAACGCGCGTGCGCGTAGGCCTATTTTCTCGTTAGTTTATTCTTTATTCTTGTCAACTAATTGTTTGTCTCAGTCGCCAATACGAGTCGAAATAATGAATAGAAAGTATAATATAAGCCGGTACCTTTCCTTATATATATATATAAAAATGGAAAAACCAAATGTTGCTGCATTAAATACATCAAGCAATAAGTGGCGCCGATTTAAGACAATGTATAATAAAATATCAATTGTCATTTTCTAAAAAAAAAAAACCAAAAAAACGTATACCCCGATCGGGAGATAAACGGAAATCGCATAGATGATATGAAATACAGATTTTCTAATCTTTCTTAATAACTTATCGACACTCTTATACTCCTACAGATATAAGCAGCAATTTCGTACATGGATAAAATAAACCTAAAAGTGCATTTGTGACGATGGTAAGCTGGGCTTGCAGAGTTTATATAAATAAAATATTTGCTGAATAATGTACACCAGCATAATGTAACTTTGATAAATATCCAAAACATAAAACAGAATATTCATGTTGAAAACTCACACACGCGTTTTCTACAATCTTTTAATTTCTTTGTAAATACAAATCGATTGATTACGCTGCGACAACTATCCATTATATTCTAAAATTATTAAGCATCGATAGACATGTATTGTATGCGAAAATATCGATATATATATATATATATATACATTGACGCTACAAAATATATAATATGGTATTGATGCCGAAAATAACATATATATACTTATATTGGCGATTCAGTAATCTATTCTATTATATGACTCATTCAGACGACAAAAATAATAGCGTAATAGAAATAATGAAAAATAAATCGATGCATACATACAAACCATATTTTAAGTATATACTAATTTTCAATATTGAATCGTCTAAAAACAATACGATCCATATACGATTAGAGAGTTTCAGAGATAACTTTGCCTTCTTAAATTATGTTAATTATGTATACTTAATAATCTATATTCAAATTTCATTTATTTGTACATGTATATTTTTTACGGGAGTTGAATAGTAGAATCATTTACAATATTTCTAAAGAAAGTTTTGTAGAAGGAAGAAGAGAACTCGCAATTTTTACGAGGTGAATATCATATTATGTACGACCGAAGATGAAGATGTTTCTTTACATTGCGTGTGAGTTTTAAATATGAATTGTAATATACGTGTGTACACACACACACGCACACACACACACACACACAATAAATTTATTTCTACAATAAAAACTATTAGCGTAAAAAACTTGCTTCGTGATAAGAATAAAGTTGCAGATTTACAGACAAGATTTGAAATACAATGAAAAAAATATGCATATGGAATGTAATTTTTTATGGTGAAAATAATGCGCGAATGTTTCTTCATATTGGACGAATTGCTTGGACGATCATCGGTTTACAGAAATACACGAAAAAAGTTTAAGATTAATAAGTTTGATGTACAAATCATTTTGAAATATTGGAAAAGTATTTTTTAGGATCTCTTAATTGTCGATGTGTGAGTCGATGGGTGCAGGAAGAATCGAGGTGAAAGCGAATAGTTTTATAAAAAAGATAAGGAGGCGATGATGACCGGATTATATCTAAAGTTGATTTGATTACATTTGTGATTAAGATCGTGATTTAAATTAATTTTTTAAGTAATATTGACAATTTATTTGAGAGCCTACATAATTGATAATTAAAATGTTTAAGTGAAAAATAGTTTTAATTGTATATTTCGAATCGATTCATTATTCATTATTCATTTGAGCGATTTTTTTGTTCAGATATCATTTAAGTTACGACCACAAAGACTTTTTGGATATCTTGTGCGCTGTTTTTCCAGGGCCAATAAATTGCGTATTACTACGTTTCTTGTAACTTAGTGTTCTTTTTTAATAATTCCTTGATATGATACGAGCAAATACGTAAACGCGTACATACGGATGGAAATTAATTGTCCTTGTAAAATGTATTCACAAATGGATGAGATTGTGTTATCCGCGGTGATATAGACATGTATGTACTTACATACATTATTTACTGCAATGAATGTACATGAGTGAATTTATTAGAATTAGACGATCAAGATTGAAAGATGGTACGATATGCTACAGATCGAGACCGCTTCGCAGCGGTGCGGTCGAGGCTGGCGGCTGACGCTGACGGTGGATTGCTCCAATGCACAATCACAATGCGAGAAAACAACACGGGAACAGTTCCAGAGACCTCGCGACCATCATTTCGCAATGTCAACTTTCCTTTGAGAATTGCAAAACTAAACATGCCTTATAATCTCGCGATTGCATTCATAGGTCACGTTTCGAACGGCCGCGGAGTCCAATCGGCACTGGATCATAATGGAAATCCTGAAACAGCTATCTCGATATGAGAGAAACTGTTGTATCGTAGCTAAAGATTACGGAGGCTCTATTTTTATTAACACCATCGCGTATAATCCGAATGTAAAATTTTTTTATAGCAAACATATAGTCAAGTCTAATATACTTGCATCGCACGTGTGCGAACGTTTCTCCGGGCGTAATGTGCAGTTTACTACTTTTCAAGGGTAAAGAGAGAAAATACTATTACATCGATCGATCAATCGTATGGGTCATCGTATGGGATCAATCGTGGTTTTTTTTGGGGGGGGGGGGAATGCGAAAATATGAAAATGCAAGTTATCGCATGGTACGAGATACATTACATCGACGTAAACTATAAGATAACACGACAGAGGAGAGGAATTGAGGAAAGAACAAATAAATTACTGTACAAATAGAAAAATAAGGCCGTGTTTCATAATTCTCCCTACAGTACTCGCGTTGTGGCGTACGTCATTTCTTATATGAAAAGGAAAAATATAAGTGAGAAAGTCATATAAGATGGTATGTATATATTATATACAAGAGAGTCTGCAGTAGCCCTGAGAAAAATTGGAAAAAGCTCGCTGGAAGAGCGACGATCGCTTTATAATTATTAAATTTTGCTTTTCTCCTTTTAATCAATAAAAATAATTCATTTTCGTTTATTGCAGGCGCGTTTGACGACGGACGTTTGATGAGAGCAAGCTGATCAAAGCTGACTGACAATGAGAATGAAATGAGGTAAAAGGAAATTAGCGAATAACGTACGGCTATTATGTGAATACTCTTGAGGACGGTGAGATCAAAGAGACGCGAATAAGACGCGAAGGAACGAGAACATGCAATGGTGAATGTTGGGCTCTTATGCGTATCTTGCGTCGATTTGCGCGATTCGACTTTATTCAGAGTCACTTAATTGTGATTGTTAGCAAGCGCCGAATCATCGCGGTCAGGTGCGCCGCGACAAAATGTGACCTGCAATTCCTGCGAATTAACTTCCCTCCTCGACTATTGGCCCGCGTTGTTCACGTACGTTGTTCATTGTTGTTGGTAAGTCATTTCGAATCGTTTAGCTCGTCGTTCGCCGATTGACTCTCTTTCTCTTCCTCCCCTCTCTCCCTCCTTTTCCATCCATTCCTTCGTTTTCCTCCTCTGACCTGCCTCTCGCTTGCGCCGATTTTTTTTTGTGAAATTTCCCATGCGATTTCCCATGCGTCAAAGAAACACACGCCTGTCCGACTTGTGCGATAATTCTTAGATTCGGTATATTGATCATTTCGATATATAAGATATATCCGGAGTAAGCGTCCAGAGTACTAGTTGCTTTTCACTCTCTCTCTCTCTCTGTAGTTCTGTACTTTGAAATTATTTTAATTTTTAACGGTACTCTTTTACACAAACGACGAGGTTATAACATCGGTTGATATTCGCGCATCTCCCTATTACCATATTATACTTACATATCAACATGCGCCAACGTGTAGCAATTTTCTTTTTATTCGATTTAAATATACCTAATTATGTCGCATGTGTATTTATTCCACCTTGACAACAGGAAAATTTGTCGTGATATTGCCACATAACCAAGCAATAATATTGAACAATATCTTTTTTTTTTATTAAATCGAGTTACATTCATCTAATGGAAATCAAGTTAATCCTTATATAATTAACAGGACATATACGTATAGCAAAAATTGTGATTTTCGAGGTGAGCAATTAATAATTAAAGTCGTTATTAACGAAATGTATACGCGCAGAGAGAGAGAGAGAGAGCGAGTGGGAGGGGGGGGGGGGAGAGGGATAGAGCGCGGAAAAAGGAGTGAGCGAGCAAACGTGAATGTGAATTTATGTCATGATAATAGTAATAATAGGATATGATAGGAAGATTTGAGGTATTTTTAAGTGGATTCTAATGTCACGATAAAATTAATTTTATGCAACATTTAAATTAATTAAAAGGGGAAATGCAATTATTATGCTTTTGCTATGCGATGCGATGTTTACGTGTAATGTTTGACAGATATTATAACCTCAAATCAGTATATGTATTAAACGTATATTTGCATTGGTGCAGAAAAATTGTCAGTATAATTTTCAATTCGATCCTGCGTGTATTGACGTACAGATTGATCAACTTTAGGAAAATTGACGACTTAAAGTATTTTCTTTGAAATGTTTTTTTTTTGTTTTTAAAAGAATCTTTATGTGGATTAATGTAAATAATGTTAATTTGTAATTGTTGCATTGTGCACATATATACACACATATACACAATGCAACAATTATACCTTTATATATATATATATATATAATATGTATGTGTGTTTGTATGTGTTTATATGTATATAGGACTGGCCTTTATACGGTTCCATAACAGAATGCTACTTCCACATATGAAACCAAGGCATGCATAAAAACGTCTTCCTCGAACGTTTCTTCAAATAGCACTAGCAAGATGGAGACTTCGATACGGGAAAGAATTCTCAGCTTTGCTGATGTTGTAATGAGAGTGCCACCTTTATTTATTATTGACGAGTTACTTAGAATTGGCCTTGGTTTACCTAACGACAATATCGTGCTGAAAAGTAATGAATATGACTTTAAAACTACTAATTTATCGGGCATCGCTAATTCCATCTCTGCAGTCACGACAGATTCGTTTCTAATGGAGCAGTTTGATTGGACTCATCTTGTTTACAAGGCTTATCTGATAATCATGTTTAAATTTTTATGCTGTTGTGTAGGTAAGTAGTATTTAAATTATATCAGCAAATTTTAAATGAATCGCGGACATACGAATTATTTTTCAAGGGAAAATGCTTGTAGACAAGTAGTAATTTAGCAAGTTGCTTTTTTTATTAACAATCCCAAGACATAAAATCCCCTTGCGTGATAAAGAACAGACTGTCTCGTTGCAGAAACAGAGCTCTAAAGAACTTTTTATTAAAAAATTGACGAAACTTTAATCCCGTCTTGTTGTTCGCAATATCAGTTTGAATGAATAAATGTATGTTTTCTAATGTTATACCTACCATTTTCTTTCAGGTTTTCTTGCAGCCTTATACACGTTCATGTTATGTACTAGACATTTGATGATCGTCTACCTATATTTAATATCTGTAGGAGTGATATTTGTATCGTATTGGTCAAATGTTAGTACAATAAAAGCGATTATAGCTTACATGAGTGTCCACGAATCAACAACTAGTATACTTGACAATATATTATGTCTGAATCTATCAGACGTTCTCTATAATGGTCCGGGTTTCCTGATTATTCAGAATTATATACTACAATGCCTGCTAGCCAGTATCTTTTGTTACATACATCTTGCCCCAAGACATCCAGTGGTTCAAAAGCTTCTTGTGCTGAGCTTTATGTCACCATCCATCGTGGGTATCCATCCTTTACCGGTGAGCTTAAATCAAATATATCAACTACCGATCTATCTATCTTGATTTCTTTATTACAAGGTAAAAAAGCGCGAAAGAGTTGATGGAAACGGGGAAACAATTTGTATTTTGTATTTGTATTTATATTTTTTGGACAGTTTGGGCAATACAATTAACAATAAGTAAAAAATATATATTTTTCTAGATGCAATATCTGTATCACGCACCAGTGTGCGCAACGTTAATCCCGCTGGCTGTATGTAAATTTGTCATCTGGTACAATGGGGTCTCCATGTTAAGAACTATCTACATGGGCTATCGACATGCACGCAATTTTATAATCAATTACGGCTTATCCGCTCTCGCGGAAACAGAATGGATGCGCCTGAACGTGCCGTGCGTACTTCGCACGTTTTGGATGCTACGAGTGGGAGAGCAAATCGTTCAGATCCTCGGGAATCACTACGGCGAGGAAACATTTAATTATTACGTCATGATGAGAACGTTGCTGGTAAATGGATGCGAGACATTGACAGCTGTTCTCGGTATGACCAGCATAATCTCGTTTATTTGCCACTATATCGGCTGCTTCTTCCAATGGGTATTATTGACCGAAGACGAAGATGAGAAGAGTATTGGCACGGTTTCCGCTATACTATTCTACATTCTTGCCCTGCAGACCGGATTGACGAGTCTCGATAGAGAGAAGCGTCTAGTACGGCTATATCGTAATTTTTGCCTATTATTTACCGCGATTTTACACTTTGTCCACAATATAGTGAATCCACTATTGATGTCACTTAGTGCTTCTCATAACCCGGCGCTACATAGACATTTACGTGCTTTGGCGGTCTGTGCTTTTCTAATATTTTTCCCGGTATCGTTACTCATATTCCTCTGGTCCCACTTTACAGTGAGTACGTGGTTATTGGCTGTATCGGTCTTCAGCATCGAGGTAATAGTCAAAGTACTAGTCTCGCTGGCGATTTACTCACTGTTTCTCATCGACGCGTATAGAAGCGCCTTCTGGGAACAATTTGACGATTGCGTGTACATAATAAGGTCATTTGGCAATACTGTGGAATTCGCTTTTGGTATCATATTGTTTTTCAACGGCTTCTGGATATTGATCTTTGAGTCTGGTGGAGCTATTCGCTCCATCATGATGTGCATACATGCCTACTTTAATATCTGGTGTGAAGCGAAGGCTGGATGGAGCGTTTTTATGAAACGCCTGACCGCTGTCAACAAGATTAATTCTTTACCGGAAGCAAATGCCGAACAACTGCAACGATTGGACGATGTTTGCGCGATTTGCTATCAGGAGATGCAAAGCGCCAAGATCACCCAATGCAATCATTATTTCCACGGTGTATGCTTACGAAAATGGTTATACGTTCAAGACCGATGTCCCCTTTGCCACGATATACTGTATAAAGTTGAAAACGTGCAGAACCGAGCTCTCGTTGAGGGTGGGAACGGCGGGAATGATATTGAAGATGGCACGGTTGTGTAAATTTCGTATAGAATTCGAATTTGTTAGGCAATCTCTTGGGCTGACAATGAGACGGTTAGGTTGGCCGAGTGGATGTTCGGATGAAGGCAGATGGCAGAAATGACGTGGCTTTTCACGCGTATTTTGTGATATGACATATAGGTAGATACTAATTTTTTTTAACTTAGTTATGATCGCGAAGCATCGACGTCTGAATGAAATCTCGCTCGAAAATTTCGCTCGTTTGTATCGTATATTACTCCAATTTGATAATATCGGAAAGCATTATAAATACTTATATACGCGTAATTATCCTGTAAGAATTCGAATTTTTTTTCAACTTGTAAAATCTTGTAAATAAGCAAGCCGCAACAATTATTCTTAGAAAGAAAAAAAAAACATTCGAGAGACATGCGATGATTGTCTTATAATAAGAAAGTATTTGGCGTACAGTTTCAAAACTTTGGCTCTTTGCCATTTCGATAGATGTCCACTGTTAAATGTATTTTTGGATCGTCGTTATGCTACAATCGTCGTATATAGCGTGACGCAATGGTATACATATAAGCTTCCATGTATTGTACATGCCATGTGCTTCCATTTCTTTAATGATGAATCATGATATACCGTCATATGACATATTTCTATCAAATTAAGTGAGAGAGGGGGCGGCGAGAATTAGAAAAATAAGAGAAAGAAAGTGGGGGGGGGAGGGGAGAGACACTGTTAAGATTTATTCTATATGAAAACTTTAATGACAAAGTTGTGGCTAAAACTTTAATTTTACGACACATTTTATGATACTTTTCATTATAATTAGTACGAAATAATGGTTTGTTTTGTATATTCAAGTGCTGGCTAATATCGTTGAGTATACGTTGCTATAAAGATGATTGTGGCGAATTATTTCTCTTTAAATTCTTCTCTTTCGAATAGGTGATAATTTTCGTCTCTACTAAATCTATTGTAATTGACTGTAATTGATTGCAAATAAAATTCTATTAAATCGTTTCTCAATTTGTAAAATAAAAATATTAATATGTTACTAAAATAAAAATACACCTGTATACACCTAAATCACAAGATAAATTATTAATATTTAAAAAATAAAAATAAAATATGAATGCAAAATTTGTTAATATATTTAACTTGATGACATGCTCAAAATTTAACTTTGACAGAAGCGCAGTCATTGATCTCTTTTAATTTTACGCTTTGTGTTAACTTGTACTCGATGTACATACGTATATGCTTTACGAGTAATTCGTGATTATTGGTATTTCAAGCAGAGGTCTTTTGAAAACAGAAATTTTACACACACACACACACCCACACACACACACGCGCGCGCACGCGCACATACATATATGCATATAATATATATATATATGTATATGTATGTACGTATGTATGTATGTATGTTTGTATAATGAAATGATATGTATATATGTATAGCAATATAATAGATATACAATTAATATATCGAATGTGTGAAAAATGATACATAATATGATTTTATTTTTCTCCATATTGATTCGACTTTAATGAATTATTCCTTGTTTTTTACTTATTCTATTGAATACTATTATTTTTTATTATGAAGTTTTTTTTAATTGAATGTATGTAGATAATCTTTTTCAATACATTATATCGGATTATATGCAAAAATCTCTTCATATAAGATGACTCTTTATTACATTTAATTATTAACAGTCTTATGCGACTATTTATTAAGAGATTAGTATATCAATTTATTAAGACAGGCTGTAAATTTACAACCTGTTTAGAGATACTACACGTTGAATAAACATTGTATTTTTAAAAACTTGAAAATATTTTTCTTTTTTCCAGTCTCTTTACGGATTCTACACAAATCCTACGATCAGTAGTTATTCTTATATCGAAAAATTAGCTAAAAATTTCTAAAAAGCGCACGGTAGAAAACAGCGATTTTATTAAAAGCAATTTCTTTATGGCAGAAACTCATTATTGTCAGTGTGATCGCTCTTGATCCTAACGTGCGTAGAAAATTATGCGTCGTACCTTGGCGCGATCAGATCGAGTAACAATGGACGGTAAAGATACCGGGTCAAGGACAGATTATCACGTATGTGGATTCACGCGTGCTCTATATAGACTGATCGTTATAAATTCGCGGTATGGGAATAACATAACACTTAAAGTAAAAAAGTAAACACTTAAAAATTGTAATATATACATATTTTACACTGTGATAAACTGTAAAATTTGATTGACTTTATTCTTTTGATTATTATACGCTGGCTGAGGGAGAAAGAGAGAGAGTAGAGAGATTTGTTACATTGCAGACTGACACATTTCCTATATATATGGCGAACATGTAAATTCTCTACAAATTAAAATAAAATTAATATATACGTCCTATTTTAAAATCAGGAGGAAATGCAGGAATCTCTCGGTCGTTCTGACGAATTTACAATACACGCGCAATCATCATGCAATTAATCCGAATTGTCGAATGTTATATTATTAGCTTTGCATCGTGCGCAAATATTAAATTAGAGTTGCGTTGCCAATATTTGAAAATGGCTGCTCTATAATCTATATATATATATGTAGAAAACAGTTTCGCCTCCCACTCGATAGTTCTGTACGTTTGTATTTTACATTACGCTGCGTTTAGCTGAAAGTCAGTTGAAAAGTCAGTCGCGTGCGTACCGTCGTTGGGTGCACATCTTCATTCGTTTTCCATTCGTCCTCTACAATCTACTCCGGAATACGCATCGAGTGAAACGATATTCGAGCAAGCCAGCTTCTCTCGAGACGTTTTTGCGTCTCGTAACGTCATTAGCGTATCTAAATCACCTCGACAGAGATAAGACAGGTACGAAAAATACATATGCCGCATAATTATATAGTTGCATATAGTTGTTATACACTTTACTACAACTTTTATATTTTTTGCCAGAATTTTTAATCCACTAGTACATAACAGGCGCGCGCTACGCGCGCGATGCGTATTGAATTCCGTACATCTTCCAATAACATTTATACCAATTTACAGTTTAATTAAACAAATGTTAACAATTTTTGATAAAAAATAAATTTTCAAAAAAAATGACGCTTTGCGCGCGGTGCGTATTAAACTCCATACATCGTCCAATAACATTTATACCAAATTATACATTTTAATTAAACAAATTTTAACAATTTGCAATAAAATGATATTTTAATCGACCATTTTTAAATAAAATCACGATTTTTTAGAAAATAGCCACATAATTCACTTTTAAGATAAGCCAGGAAGAAGTCGATATTTTTATTTTTCTAAAAGATATGAATTTTTAAACATTGGCGAAAAGAAGCTTCAATGCAGATAACATGGCATTTGATTTTTAAGATAATAATTTTTTTTTAAATTTTTTATATCAG